TGGAGAAAACATCTTGAGATTTATACAGATCCTTAGCATCCTCACATATATTAAAACTGTTTTTCCTTTTTCTTCATATGGTCACTTTCCTTTTGTTCACTGCAAGGATGAATTCTCAATGTTCCAGAGCCGGACAACCAAGCAGTTGCCATTTGATGTGAGGGGAGAAAAAGAAGAAAGAATGGAAAATGGCAGAGGGATTAAAGGATCTAACCAAGATAAAGGGATAGAAGGTTCTTGGTGTGATCCAGTTTGGTTGGAAAGATGGAAGGACTTAACAAGGATTTGGGACTTTAGAATGCATTGTGGCATTATGTCCATGTTGTGCAGAATCAACTAAACTGTTTAGTATATTGTGTCTTTTACAGACCTATACGTCGTTCATCCTGACTTTACAAGCAAGTTAACAAAGTGTTTTCAAAAAATGTAAATGGCTGCGTTCCCATTGACTTAAAAATTCCACAAATTGGAATTACAAATAAAAGGTTTTTGCACTAGGGTGACTTGGTTTTTCGGCTCCATTGAAATTAGTGTATTTTGCAAAACTTCAATTTTCACATCACACGAATTCTTTGATCAACAACTGCATATTAGTAATGGCGGAAAATACATAGAAGCTGACAGGAAGTGATGCGAGGATGATGGCGCAGCATGTTTTTAAATAACTTATTGTGTGAACAAACTTATTCACAAGTGATTTTAACTGTGTTTCTTATGTAATAGAAACACAGCAAGTACGAAAATGTGTTCTGCGCATATTTGTAATGGAAATTCAGCTAGTGAATGTTGCATTCTGGATGATTTTAGCAATTAAAACAACTCTTACTCCAAACTCAGGAACAATCTCTTCTGGAAATGCAGTATTACTATCTACCAATACAGCCCAGTATCTCAATGAAGTACATTTTGATGGATAGTTCAGAGTTTCTAACATGAGTTTCTGTGAAAAGATCAATACCCAGACCTGTAAATGTCATAGTATTGTTAGTTTAGATGAGGAATAAAAGTTAATCAGATGAGCCTTTTGTTTTAACTGATTTTAGCAGTTTCTGAAAAGATGAAAATTGCCATATCTATAGGAATGTGACTGCATCCGTACTAAGCGCAGCAAAATACCTTGAAGCAACAACTTGCAATTGACTGGGGCTGTGACCTTATTCATCTTTGCCAGCGTGTGTCCATCTCACTGTCACTCCAAGCAGGTTTACACCTCTGACCCTGTCATGAGTGTCAAATAGCTTGTCCGAGGCCTTCAGTGAAGCATGATGACAGGCCCTCTAATGCATTACAGCACAAGTGCCATATCTTCCCCGCCTCAGGGCAGACAGGTGCACAGTTGGATGAGACACACATGCCAAACACGCAAACAAACACCCTTATGCATACATTTGATCAAAACAAACACTTGACAAATGATATATTTGGCATAGGAACTGCATGCTAATTAAATGTACCTTTATTTTTATAAGTGAATAAATAGAAAGCCAAGGGCTTTGAACTAAACATCAATATCAATATCAATCAATCAATATCAATCCAGCAATGTTTAAACACATCAATTCATTCATTCGGTTGAAAGTATTTTTGATGACCAGGACAACTGAGTCATTTTGCCCCCATTTCAGCAGCAACCATAGCAACCATTTCATACCCAGTCTTACTTTTATTTTTATTCTCTTTTCACTTCTCACATTTTTTTCAGCTAAATGTAGCTTTTAGGCAGACATTATTTTCCATTCCTTGATTTTTATTATGTTTAAACGTATAAATATATAATTTTCTCTTTCTAATGAATTATTTTTGCATGTTAAATTATTCAAATAAATTATGATAAAATATATGCAATTTAGGTGTGTTACATTTTTTTTGTTTGTTTTGAAAGCGAACAAACAAAGATCTTCCCTGCCAACAGCCATCACAATCTACAATAACTTTTTGAAGAATCTGAATTAATATGAATTACATTTAATTTCTCTTTGGGTTCAATAAAGTCTTTTTGTATGTATTGTATTGTGTTGCATTGGAAGATCTAGGTTTTGTCCTGTTTAAGCCAGTTGTCCCTCTCATCTCATGAAATATGAAACATTATGACCCATGTTCAAATTCAAATAACTAGACAACCTCTAACAACCTTCTGCTGTTAGATGTTTTATTAGAGTAATTTAACTACGTTTAATAAAACCATAGTTATTACATTTTTCTTACACTTGACTTTCTTCTCCCCATCTACTTAAGCCAGATCCTTTGGGGATTTCTCGGCTGGCTTTCGCAAGCCAGCCGAGAAATATAGTTTCTACAGCTTGTCCTGGGTCTTCCTCTTGGTCTCCTCCTGGTGGGACATGCACGGTACACTTCACCAGGGAGACCATCTGGTAGAGTGTAGAGTGCACACTAGTTTTCTATCCATCCATCCATCCATCCATCCATCCATCCATCCATCCATCCATCCATCCATCCATCCATCCATCATTCTTTGTGGCATTTGTGGCCTCACTTATCATCTAGTGGAGCTTTTAATATGTAGTTGTTAACTTGTGCAGATTTTTTGCAAACCAAAAAAGTTCAACATCGAAGAGGAACACTATGATCTGGGCATGGCAGTGTTCAGTTGCCTCTGAGCACTGCCTTCTCAAGAGGCTGTTTATAATCACTCTCTCAATTTCTTATATGTCTCGATGTTGCAGAAATAAGTTTAAATTGCCATACAAAGAATTCAGTTTCAACAGCAAAAGTAAAAACTCTGAAATCCTGAGATGCACATGACTATTTTCGTAAGGACGCAATATGTTTTAGTGTAGTCGTGTCCTCAAAAGTGCAAGAGGTTCACACTATCTTTGAAGCCTCTTCCATTGGGATATGGATTAAAACAGAGAACATGGGAGGGACAACTCATAAAAACCTGTATGCATAACAAACATGAATCAACTTCAATATAACCCTCTAAAAGAAAGAAGAAAGTCTTTCAAAGAAATACCTTTATCCTCTCTATTGTTTCATCTTGAAATGGCTCACCATCAGAGCCTTAGAGGTGAGATTCAAGAGTAGCATATGTGGACTCAGATTTTACACCAGTCAAAGCGGTACTCTTAGTTCATTGGCTGTGATGAAATATCCGGTTCAGTGAGGGGCATGAGAGGATGGTGGGAACCTGAAGAGCTGGACCCCAGTAACCTCACGAAGAACCAAGTCATCCTTCAGGAAATCCAGCACTCTGGCATGGACGATTTGTTCAATGTGTGCACTTACACCTTGCCAGTATACCCACATCCTCCAAGCAAGCGATTCCCAGTCCTCATACACTGTCCCTCCCTCACCAGAGGGCCCCATGTTCATTCTGAAGAAATACGTCTTTCAGAAGCTTGTCTCAACCATCTGTCACGGATGTCCCAGGAAATCTACCCATGGACACAAATGGCTTGCATAAATAAAGTGCCAGTTGTGATTGGACAGGTGAAAGGATTGCAAATGAAAAGTAATATTTCTGTCAAACTATAGCACAAACTTGGAGCTCAAACTGAAATGATAGGTCTGTAAAAATTATAATTTGACATACTAGGTGGAGGAGACATATTTGATGTTAATGAAGGTGTTTTTTGTTTGGGTTTTTTTGTCAAATTTGATGGTTTCCATTCTCAGCCATTTATTTCAATGTTATATTTTCACCTGTCAAACAATTTGACGATGCTCATACAACTAATTCCATTATTCTGTGTTGTCAAAATACTAGGCAACCTTCATGTCGTAACACAAAAGCAAACATTTCTGAACGTATCCAGGGCGGAGTGCAAAATTTTATGTAAATCCCCTTAACGACCTTTTCAGGGTGCCAACAATCACCATACAAAGGTGACTGGCAGGCGACACTGGTGCACATTTATCCTTTTGCCCCAGCCCGTCTTTCTCTACAGCGCCCCCTGCTGTGAGAGGCGTGGGGTAGGGTGCCCAATGGCACTTGTTGCCAATGGAAGAAGCCAGCATGGACCCTCTCATGGCAGCGATACAGGTCGTTGCAATAATGTTCGGTTTGTTTCCTGCTTCACACCACCTTTGGGATTTGGCCCGCCCGATAATCCAGTACATGAGACGCAGAGGGAGGTATCCCATGCTTGTCCATCCGAGTTCCAGCCTTGTTTAGCCCAAACCCGCTCCTTTGTATGACTCACACAACTGTCTATTGGTTGTCGAAGGGGCCATTTCATAATATGCTTCCATTACCACAATTATTAAGATTACTTAAGCCACAAAATACAAACCCCAAATCCGAAATTGGTTGTTCAACTAAGTGTAATAATTTATGAAACTACCAGAGAATATGTTACAGATGAAAAAAAAAACTTGTGCACAGACACACACTCTTTTTCTATGGCACTGTTTGACACAGACGCACACACACCAGCATTCCCAAGCCCCTGACTGAGTGTTTTTATCCTTGCTAGGCCTTGTCTCAGAGGGGAGTCAGGCCCCTACTGAGACCTTATCCACTTCCTGCTGCAAAGCCTGTTTTGCCCCTTGGCAGCCCTCTTCCATTCAGAAACTTGTTTTAAGACCCATTAACCATAAATTATTTTGCTATAAGTAACTAAGAAATACTGAAAATACATTGTGGTTGATGATGTAGGTAACTTCCACATGGGCGGAAATGTGCATGAAAGATGATTTTTCTCCCAGAAGAGGGACACTGCCTTGAAAGAACTTCCAAGAGTTTTACTGTAGCCGTCTCCCATGAGGATGTGCCCCCCAGGTGGGCATAAGAGTTCGAGGAGTGACATTTTACCAGAATAAAGAATAGGTTTAAAAAAATAAACCAAGAAAAAAAAAAGAAAGAACAGGGTGAAAATGTCATTGTTCTTGCGTTTGGGTATGTGTTGGGGGGGAAAAGTTGTTAGGCGTGTACCATGACCAGCGGTGCCATCAAAATTAGTTTGTGTGTGTGCTTTCAGAGGGGTGTGTGTGTAATATATACACCCCCCTACTGTCCTATTTCCAGTCGTCTGTCCACACATAACAACTGTCAGTATCCAGCGAGATATGAAGCTGAAAACAAGGATGACGAAGAGCAACGATCAGTTGGATATTACTGTTGGGTTTGACACGGACTATGGTGGATTTAGCATCACCTTAAGGATCTAAACTGTACCTTCGCATTTTCTATGGTAGGTGCATATGCTATGATGTTGTCCATCCAGTGAACTCAGTGGGTTGTCTTGTAAAACTTTGTTTTTTTATATTTCATTGGGATTCAGCTTGCTCATCCAAGAATATAAGAATCTCTTATTGCAAGACAAGGTTTAAAAGCAATTTTGTTTTCAACTTGAATATATCTTTTATGGAGTTTATTTATTTATTTATTTATTTATTTATTTATTTATTTATTTATTTTGCAAGGGAATACATATGTGAGTTGGTTATGGTCAGCAGCTAAAGATAGAGCACTTAAAAATTAAGACTTGAGAAACAGAAAAATAAATAAGAGATGCATTTGTCTTGTTACTACCCAACATGCAGCTGTACTGAACGCTTGCTTTTATATTCAATATGCCAGAAATATGTTTTCTTATCTGATGGGAATTGAACAGAGCATTGCCTATGTGAAACCAGACCACAGTGGAATTTGATAGAAACAGTGCAACTTTTATACTCTCTACATGAATAAACATTACATTTTTGAAGTGATACAGGTTATAATTTTTTTAACCTGAAACCTGTTTGATTATTCTAGCTGTTTCCTAACCCATATATTTGTTTTCTATTCCCGCTTAACCCATGCTCTCATGGACATCCAGCAGTTGCGGGGTAAGAGGCAGGGCACAGTTCTTACAAAATCATGCCCACAGGAAAATTGTCTCATAACTAATGTAGTTCAAAATGCAGATACAGGGAGAAAGAGTGAGTGTTTTGTTATCTAAACCATAAGAAATAATGTATAATTACATTTATTTGACAAGACAAAAAAAATCTTTGTTCTCAAGAAACTGATGAACCAAAATTAGTCAAACCACAAACTGAAACACTGTTGGATGCATCTGTAGGCGAGTAAACTTTTAGGAAGCAAATGAGCGGTTGGCTTTGATAATTTGAATTTGTTTGCACTTCTAGAAAATGTCCCATTTTCTAGAAGGTACTTTTAAACCTTAATATTTTAAACATTATGTGAAGATTGTATTCCCTTTGGGGAGAAATATAAAGTTGATGGGTCAAACATAGCAGTGTGGATCACTGAGGCATGTGTGCAGATATATTGTCTATTTGGAAAACTTAATATGTGGGCCTTTTCTGACAGTACCCTTTCATTTGGCACCTAATGCTGTCAAAGGAGGGCATTTCAGCTGTGAACTGAAGTTAATCTTGTGGCGGATTTTAAGAATTTAATCTGTGCCTTCACATATCAGACTTTTAATGTAAAAGCCTTTATGCTGGTTTCAACCCATTTCTCCTGTCTTTTTCATGACTTCCTAGAAGCCAGATGTTGGTGAGATCTCAATCTCAATGTTTTGTCTACACTAAACTGTCTGTCATAAAGTCGTTAGTTGGGTCATAACGTCATTACCTTTCTGGTCTTTTACCATTGCAAATACCGAAATGATCAGAAAAGTCAGGTGAGCTATTGCACCTGGATTTACTGAAAAAGACCACAAGGTCATGCAGCAGCTTTACCAAAACCCTAAAATAGTTTTTCATTAGATCTTGAACTTGCAACACCTACTAGTCCCTTGTTGTGATTTTTTTATTATTATTTTGTGTCTGGGTTATTTTAGTTGTTTTTTGATTTGTTTGTGTTTTTTGTGTGTTTTTTTTTTGGGGGGGGGGGGGGGCGGGGGGGATTTTTTGCATGTACAATACAAGGCTATTTAAATAAATTTGACTTGAATCAGAAGTCATTCCTGCTTGAAGGTCACTCTGGGTAAGGCCCTCCTACCACCATGTTACAATTCTTCAGTGTAAGGTGGCCTTCCAGTTCACCTTAATGCATTTCTCAGATCAAAACTGAATTTCTCAGAGATACTTTCTCAGAGATACAATCATCAAGTCATTGTGTCATTTGTGCATATAAAAAAAAACAGGTAGAAAATTCTTCTGTACATTCGTGCAAGGCAAAAGAAAATAACTTGATCTATGGTGGTCTGCGAAACACAGAGAAGGATTTAGGTTAAAATGTTTGAGCAAATTGCAATCTAGTTGGAAATATGCAAAGCAAAGAGGAAAAAGGAAAAAAAAAAAAAACAGGAAAACCAACAAACCCTGCTGAATATGTGACTCTACAAGAAACTAAATTATTGTTGCAATAATTACCATCCACTCATTTAAAAGTACAGCAGGTGCTGAAAGCAATCTTTCAGCTATTCAGCAGTGCAAAACCACAAATTATTGTTGAAGAGTGAGATGGCATTATGCACCTTCCCTGTGTGGTCCCTCAGCCTTCTCCCCTCCTGCTGCTCTCCTCGGGCCTTCTCCCCTCCTGCTGCCCCCTCTGCTGGGGTTAGTGGGCATAGTTGACCCTGGTTAAAATTCAACTTTCTCAACAATAGCATGGTTAGTCATGTCCTTAGGGGCCTGGTTGTGCAGGGAAAGGATACTCAAGTTCCAATAATAATAATAATAATAATAATAATAATAATAATAATAATAATAATACATATCTTAAGTTACCCAAACAAGATTAAGAATCTCTCTCTTGAGGGTGTAAAAATAATTCTGACATTGAGATGAAATGTTGAGTTTATTTAAGCAAACAAAGGAGAGCCATGAGAAATGGTTCAAACTGATGATTTTTAGTGACTGTACTGTGCTGCCTCGTTTTATAAATAGCCATGAAGGCACTTGGGAGCTGAAGTGATCCATTTCTGTTGTTATCAAGTTGTCCGTTTCTATTGTTTCTTAGCTTGTATACTCAGTTGCACAGCATCTCAAGAGCTACTTTGTTACTGTAATCTCTTAGTGCAGCAGGTCTGGACTCCAGAGACACCAGTATAGCATCCTTACCTTTTACTGTAGAGCCATGACGTGAATAGCGTTTGGTTTGATATTTACTCAAATTGGGGTCTTCCTTGATGTCATAATATATTGATATTATTTTTTACATTTTCTTCAGCTTAATGAGAAACATCCAACACAATATATGTAACATACATGCCACCTGTTTGCCACCAGTGCTAATAACAGAAAATTTGGCATTCTATAATGAATTTTGGGGATTTCAAAAAACATTATTTCAAATGATAGAAAAAGCTTTCTATGCCTGGTATTTCTTTTGTTGCTCTCCATTTGACTTCTTTACTAATTAATTAACAGACTCTGCGCAACGTGTCTTCATAATCATGGAGAAGAACTCAAAAATAAATGAGTGTTCAATTGGCCTAAATCTGAGAAAAATATGATAATCCTGGATAACTATATGATAATTTATAAGAATATCCAGTTGCTTGAAAGAAAAATATAAAGGAATTCTTAGGATAATTTCAGAGGTTTGCGTTGCATAGTATATATTATGTGACAGGTGATCCAATCATTGAAAGTAGCCTAACAACTGCTGTGCCTTCTTAAACATGCTACATTTCCATATAAAACACTCTGTTACTCATCCATGTTATTACAGATGGTGCCTTTTGAATGAAGCACTTACAACAAGATTGAAAGGATGTAAAAGAATGAGTCTTTAGTTTATATCACATCAGTCCAAATAAAAATAGCGCCGGTTCAGAAAAGCATTGTGCTTTTTTTCATCATTAATTTGCAATGATTATGTTGCAGTTTTGGGTGCACCCAGTCCAAAGCTTGAGAGTTTGTCTAGCTGTTGTGGAAGAATAAATTAACGAATTAATTAATGATGGAACCATTGTTAATGAGATGATGACAGAGTTTAGCAACCATAACATAATGACTTCCTGTCTAGTATTACGTAAGAACACCTAGTCTCCATTCCGAAATCTGGAGGTGTCCTGTGGTTTCTGCAACCTTGACATTAGGAAATAATGACATCCTTGTGGATTAGGATCACTTCCTAAAAATGCAACCAAGAACAATATGTTTGGTATTCTAGGTCAGGCAATAACTTCAGAACATTTTATATGTTGAGTCATTCACAGGCATCTGTTACAGAGGATCCTCAGCTCTACATTTTGGAGCTGACCACAAAAAAGTGGAGTACTGTTGCAATATTGGAGGAATAAGTGAGTAATGGGGCCACAAACAATATTTTTGAGTGGTGGCATACTCTGAATTATTCTGCTTCTGATATCCTCCAATTTTTTTAAAGAAAATTTGGAGAGATGTGGCTGCTGGTGCTCCTGGAGCCACTGTGTGAAATGGAAGGTGTTGAATCTTTTACTAAATATTGAAAAACATAACTAAAAATAATAATAAGAAGAAAACAAAACCGAAGTTTGAAGTTCTTGATAACAATTACATTATTTTTTCAGTATCAAGAATTGCTTTAGGCTTTTATCAACTTACACCGGTTTAAACCTTTGGATTAACTGTAGCGTTGTCTTTTGTAATAGGCATCAAGACTTAGTCCCATTTTAATTGCTTTCGCAAAGGTCAGGAAGAGGAGACTGGACATGTTAAAGTCAGAGCTCTTAAAGAGAAACAGATTAATTGGAAGTTAAAAACACAGAGGGGTATACTTCTGTCAATGTATGAAGTCAATTTCCCCCTGTTGGTTGACTACTTCATGAACAGGGTGTGCAAAAATAGTATATCTTCTGAAAATAAAATAAATAAATTCAATTCTAACTCTATAGTACTGTTTGAATAACACTGACCATTGCAAATATGATCTGTGGCATTCTAATTACTTTAATCAACACATATTGAACCTGGTTAGGAAATAAAATAAAATAAAACAAAATAAGAATGTTCACATGATACTTAATGTCTTAATAGGTTCAACCTAAAAAAAAAAACAGACAGTAAAAGACGGATTCCACTGAGTTGCACAGGAAATCATCTTTACAATATGGATAATTAGATGGTCCCTACGTCCACAAATATAATCTTGCACAAACACAATTTTGGTCAATATTTCTCACTTACAATAGCATACAAGGCACCTTTAGCTTGAATTTGAATAATAAACCTTAGGTTTAGTTTTTCTGTTTTATCTTTAGTTCTTGATTTTTATTTTTATTTTTCCATATTTCAAAGGAGCATTTTAAATTTGCCAAATAAATCTACACAGTTTCCCTCTAGGAGAAAAGTATTCCGATTCAATTTCCGACCTTTATCCCCCCTTCAACATGTGCGCGCGATTCTCTCCTCGACCACAGGGGGCGATGTCTCCCGGTCTGTGAACGCTGAAGTTTTACAGGAACCTCTGACGTGTCAAATCATCGCCATTTTCCTGTACAGGAGGAAACGCCTTAAGGGAAGAAAACATATCGAGCGAGTGAGTTGAAACAATTTAGAACAAAACTAAATGTTTAATCTTCTGTAAAATCTTACTGTAGGCTGTAGTTATGCAGGCAGAGCTGTTTGTACAAGCTAAATAAAACTGCTTCAAGTGCTTGCGGTAACAACACATTCAGAAGCAGAGTAACTTACTGCTAGGAGAGCTAGTTTCTCTCGACGATGCTGTCCTTAGCTTCGTATCTTCCCCTCATGTTATATGCTAGGTTGTTAAAATATATAATAGCGTGAATTGTTTTAAATACTATCTAGTTGGAGTGCTTCCTTTGGCGTTATTGTACCGCAGCATACTATTGTGGGTGTTTGTTTAGGTAGGTGGGCAACTTTTCGCACCGCACCCTGAACAGTCAGCTGTAAAAGCTGCTGCAGCCTGCGTGGTTTATTGGATGGGAAATTAAGGATCCATAAATGGCCCCAGGTGACACATAATCCCCACGAAGCAAATACTACTGTAAATGTTTTGGATTGTCAGCTTACATCCATGTTAATCGATAAAATGTATTGCACAGTTTTCTTTTCTTTTTTTTAAACCCTAACTATGTGGGACTATTTAAAGAGAAGTTAAAGCAAATCTTCAGTTGAACCATTCACAACCATGTATGTCTGTACAATAACTTACTCTGAAACAAATTAAGAAATTACTAACACCATTCGTGTAATTTTAGTTTTTTATTTGACTGTCTGTGGGGATTTATTTACCACATTTATTAAAAATAAAATTGTTGAATTTGTTCCACAGAAGCTTCACTACACTATTTGTCTACAGGTCACATGAAGAAGTAGGATGATCACATACAATGGTGTGAATGTGTTTTTCCCCTTTCTGATTTCCTATTGTTTTGGCTTGTTTGTCACACTTCAGCATTTCAGAACATCAAACCAATTTAAATAATATTAGTCAGAGAGAACACATGTCAACACAAAGTTCTGTTTTTTAAATAAAGGTGTTTTACTATTAAAAGAGGAAAAAGTCTAAACCTGCATGGCTCTGTGTGAAAGTCCCCCTAACCTAATAACTAGTTGGGGCACTCTACCAGTAACTGTATTCATTTGATCTTGAAACTTCCAATGAGTAATTTCCAGTGCCATAGAGGATTTTTTTTTGCCCACTCATCTTTGCAGAATTGTAATTTAGCCACACTGCAGCATTTTTGTTCATGGGTGACCGTTTTAAGGTCATGCTACAGCATACCAATAGAATTTGGATCACAACTTTGACTAGGCCTGTGTGGTACACAGTAGAATTCATGATTTCATTTATCACAGCCAGTCTTCCTGGCCCTGAATCAACACAGCAGCCCCAGGCAATCACACTACCACCAACACATTTTACTCTTGGCATGATATTCATTTTCTGAAATGAAGGTTTGAATTATTTTTTTCTCCCTCAATATTAAACACTTTTACTTAAAAACTGAATTTTGTGTTTACTTGTATTATCTTTGACTTTATTACTGACGTGTGACAAACATACAAAACAAAGGGGAATCAGGAAGGGCATCAACACTTTTTCACACCAGAAAAATACATTAAATAAAACAAGATTAAAGCAGTATTTCATCGTTTAGAGTATTTCATTGGCTGGAGATTGTAATTAGTTAAGAATTTATATCCTTATCTTTTTCTGTGTGCAAAGGTTGTTTATCCAAGAGTCTAATAAAAATGTATACTGAAAATGTTTTATGCCACTAACAACATGAATGAATAAAGTGTTGTAAATTACATTTATTTTGCTTGTCTTAAACTTTTTTATTTTGGGTATCTAATAACTGTTTTTTTTTTTTTTTAGTTTATCTTAATATTTCCACGTAGTTTTACGTTTTCTTTTTCTTTTTCACTCAACAGTTTGTTTGGAAACAGCTGACTTTGAGATTTCTATGTCTGATAAAGGCACCAATTGGAGATTGGTGTTGCCAACATTGCATTAGAGATATAGATTGCTACATTTACTCTCTTCCGATGGGTGTGGAAAAATTATTGCGGTTTTACAGTGAATGGATACACAATCGCCACAAGAGAAAAATATTTCAGACATGTCTGCATTCGCAAACACAAAGCAAATCTTAAGAATTTAATTTCAATAAATCAAGATATTTCGTCCACATTATCAAAACTTCTCATGGTACTATATTGAGCACCTATTTGTTGCTTCATTGCTCACCAGTTGTTTCTGTTTATCCTCAGATTTGGCGGATTTATCGCACCGTTTTTCTCCTGAAGTGATTTTCTTTTCCCATCACCGGCAGCCATGGGGAACATGTTTGCGGGGCTCTTTAAAATGTTTGGGAAGAAGGAGATGAGGATACTAATGGTGGGCTTGGATGCTGCAGGAAAGACAACTATTTTGTACAAGCTTAAACTTGGAGAGATTGTGACAACCATTCCAACAATAGGTGGGTCACATAGCTGGACAGGCAATTAGACAGATTTCTAATTGCCTGCTAAAACTTGTTGGTTAAAATGCCATTTTCATTTTTTTTTTTTTTTGCTTTCTTCCTTAGGTTTCAATGTAGAGACAGTAGAGTATAAAAACATCAGTTTCACAGTATGGGATGTTGGCGGTCAAGACAAAATCCGACCACTGTGGCGTCATTATTTTCAGAATACACAGGGTAATTTTTGATC